GTTGGTTTGTAACACGCTTCTGGGCCTGAGGTAGCAAGTCATGGCTATGTTCGGACTGTTAGGAGCGCTGACTTGGATTCGAAACCTAAGCCTGAAACGGCTAGTTTTACTGATTAGCACAGAAGGTGCAGTCACTTGGGTGCCCTTAGTGAATTGCATCATCCTTCATGAGTGTTAAGTTGGCTGAGTAGCGGATGTCACTTGTCACAGCGCATTGTGGAGTCGGAGTCGGGATATGGACCGGGGTAGATTGCTTTTGCGTCAAGTGACAGGGGACCTTTCCGTTTTTGTCAAAACTACCCGAAAGAGAGAATTTTGGTGTCAGTTGTAATTTCAGCACCTCTGCAAGGCCGAATTATTGTTTAAGCCTTGCAATGGCTCAAGGCACTAGTCGCAGATGACCTTTCCGTTTTTGTCAAAGCTTCCCGAAATGGAGTGTTAGCCGTTATCTCCAAGGGTCCAATTGGTCAACCGCCGGCCCCGTCGAACATGCTGGTTTCCGTTTCTTGAGGCAAGTGCTCATCTTGGCTGCTCCTATTTTGATTAGACTTCGCTGTATCCCATACCGAGGAACGCCAAGTGCCGCACGAATCACTACATACGGATACGGATACGGATTTTATTTCGCCCGGAGGGAAGTCCCTAGAGGGCCAGGCAGAAAGGCTATTTACAGTTCGATAAATTTGGTACATAACACCTCAAGACTAAAGCGAAGTCTAATTAAAGTTGGAGCAGCCAAGTACCCGTCTCAGAAACGGAATCCGACATTCTCGACGGGGCCGGCGATTGGCCAATGGGAGCTTGGAGATAACGGCTAATATTCCCTTTCGGGTAGTTTTGACAAAAACGGAAAAGTCATCTGCGTCTGGTACCTTAAGGCCTTGTAGGGTTTAAACAATAATTCAGCCTTGCAGGGGTGCTGAATCGTGCCCGCCCCACTCTTTTGTTAGAGGATTTGACAATTTGCCCTTGCATAAATAACCGTCATGAGATTTCGCTTGGACGGCAGAACCTAATGCTCCAGTTCAGGGCCATCAATCACCTACGTATTCATGCTTGATTGCAAAGCCCCTGACCTCTAACAGTAGATATAATTTGCTTGCCCAGTTCTCCACTCTTCTTTCCGAGGCTGTTCGCATTCAAAACGAAACCTTACGGATTACCTCTGCTACCAAGATTCTGAACCTGTGAATGGACAGCTTTTGATCAGCAAGGTCTTTTCTCCCTAATTGCACAGCATGATATGTCCTTGCATCGTCCTGCATCTCATCGACCCTGGTCAATTGCAGGGGCCCTTTCGGTTTCTTTGACGGGAGAATGGGATCCTGCATAACACAGCCCGCTTCACCCACTCCTGGTTTGAAACACATCCCGATCGGGCTTCCGAGAGTATAATCCTTGCTTAATTAATAACCCTGTTTTGTCCTTAATGCACCAATGCACCTAGGACCACTCGACTCAGCCTCGTGCCTCATAGACATGTTCTCGAGTCATGTACGTTAAGGCTGTTTGAAAGATTCTTTCTCTTGATCATGGGCATGAAATATTCATATTTCAATCCATGCCCGGTGTGAGGTAATTCACTTCAAATGTTTCCAGGATTGATTAGGTCAAGAATTTATCTCTGTGGTTCTCTCAACTCATCCCTAAAGAAACTAAATCAAACCAAAGCAAAGTTATCTCGATGTGTATCACCGATCTCTCCGATACAATAAATCACAGTGACCGGCGCTGTAGCCACTATAACAGGCAATCAAGTCGTCCACAAAGTCCTCGCATGTCTGAAAAGCAGACCCTACCGTCGCCATTAGAGCCAGAATGGCAAGGACAATATTCCTGTCCTGCCCATATTGACACCGGCCCGTACAAGTGGCAGTCTGTGGACACAAGAAACAGCCAGAACAGAGAGAGAACCGATTCAACGACGCCTAGTGTGTACAAAAGACATGGTTTCAAAAAGGAATCTCGAAGCACACAGGCTCCATATGTTCCCACGAATACAAACACGAAGCTACGAAGCATTATCAATCATGACGCCTTGGGGACTGAATCATTCCCTTACTCTCGACCGCGAGAAGTGAGCACTATTTACAGTTCACCAGGTGATCGGAATCCTGGGGCCGAATTGAGCCAGTGTGATAGAGATCATGACCAAGCGGTCGCAGAGCGTCTTCCGGCACGACCCAAGAGATTCAGGTATAACCCAGGCTTGTGAACAAGAATCCACAAACCCGAGATAGTAATGTGTAGTGAGGTGCTGATTTTGGACAGGCTTACATATAAACAAACCAGGATTTTGATGAGCGAGTTTGCGAAACAAACGCATCCCGATTCAGCCCACAGAGAACGGCTATCTCGTGAAATTCCTGGTTTGAGCCCTCGACAGGTCCAAGTATGGTTTCAAAACAGGTGAGCAACGGGCCCCGCAGAAAATATATGGAAAAGGTAACTAATCAGAAAAAAGGCGAGCCAAATGTAAAAGACTTCCGGTAAACGATCGAGACAGAATGCTCCAATTTGGGCAACATGAGCAGTTCCAGGCGATTTTAACCACATACCAGCCTAGCAGTCATCTTTTGACAGCGCCGATGACATTAGGACATCTATAGTCAGGTGCAGTCCAGCGCAGTGGGTTGGGGTCAGGTGAGTTGGGGAGGGCAATACCGCAGTACTAAAGTCACGAATTATAGCTACTATATATACATGTGCCTTATGGACTATTTAATAACTGCCGTTTTCTATAGTACTGGGTTTTAATATTATTTTATCACTGACTAGTGTATTTATATAGTTTTTATATTATTTAACATGTATTTTACTTTATATGTTTGTATTACGCCAAGTGAGTCGTACCCTGGGGTTCGAAAAAAGGCCTACGCATATACATGAAAAGATGGGCAAAGAGGCAGGATAGTTCGTACCCCAAGGTTTGTGTCAGTCTGACTTGCGTATTGTGATATCACGCGCTAAAGTGATATCCATATTCATATTCACATAACGTAATTAAGTGTGCTAGAATATCACCCTAGCGTTTTAGCACGATTGATATCACTTTAGCACATTAGCACCTGTAATATCACCATAGCACTCTAGCACCCGTGATATCACATACATCTACCTATGACCTCAGTTGC